AAAAAAAAAGCAACTTGATTATAGTGTGAGTTACCACAAATATTACTGGACATGTAATATGAAACATATAGTAATTCAAATAAAAAAATCAACTCCTGAAACTTAATCAAAATATGAAATCTGAATCAAGGTAAATTTGATCCACGACCTAATTAAATCTTGAGTGATCATCAAGATCTCATATATCCCATATATAATCTCTAAAGAGTTCACATTATTAATACAATGGTAATTCACATATAAATATACATGCGTGCATTGATGCAATCCAGTTTCTGCTTCCTTAAACCTCAAACTTGTGTTTTCCATTCCCTAATCAATATCAACAATTTGCTCTTGAAAGCTCTATGAATCATATCAATAGAGTTAATTAGAAGAAATGCTTCTGAAGTCACTAAAACATATACACACACAAATTAACACCTTGCCTTCATTTAAAATTTGAAGAACTTTCTTCAAGCTTATCAGTTTAAATTTTTTTATTATATAAATCATAGTCATAATTCAATCTCACAAATCATATTAATATTAATTTAAACCTTGTATTCAATGTATTTAAAATTTAATTCAATATTAAATATATTTTTTTTAAAAAAATAAACTTAGAAATCAACAATCTCAAATAAGAATAATTAAATTTAAGATTTTTTTGCCATGAATTGAAATAATAAAGGAAACCATTAAAACTTTGTATAATTGCAATTACGCCCACCTACACATGCATGTTACTCTTGCTAGTCCTATTGATGAAATAAAAAAAATTAAAAAAAATTAGTTTCATTTATAAGTCATATTATTAAATTTTAATCGTAATTTTTTCTTTTATCTCATTAAATGTTAATGAGAGAAGATATGTTATTAAGATTATATGTATTTAATGGGGATAAAATTAAAAATTTATTTAATTTTTAGACAAAGTTAATGATCCATTTTAAAATATCAAATATTGATTCCAGTGAGACATATTACAAGTGAGTCAGTAACTTATAAATAGTATTGAAAGAGAAAGTAGCTTGTAATAACTATGAAAGTTAGAGAGTAAAATAACTATGAAGAACTTTCAAAATCTATATCTTTGATCCCCAAGCTACTCTGGTAGTCGAAGCCCTGCCGATTAGTTCTCCAAACCTCGTTAACAATGCCTATCAAGCAAATTAAAGCCAACAGAAACAAAGAAAAACAATATCCATGATAAGCAAAAGTAAATAACATGAAGAGTACTAGAGTATGAACATAGTTGGATGAATTAATTAGTGTACCAAGTTTCTCATGCAAGCATTTTATCGTCTGGTTGAGGTCTCTTAGCCAACACTTTGTAATATATGTCACATAAACTTGCTTCAATTGCGGGGTCATGAGAGGCCGCTTCACAAATGTGGTCATGCTTGGAACGTCTTCCACTCTAACCATCTTTAACTTGGGGAATTCACCAAAATCAACTTCTTCTTCGCAGAAACTTGTGAGTCTTGGAAGCTGTTTCAGTACGAGGCTCTCCAACTTCTGCAGCACTAATGCTTTTTCACTGTTTCCAGCTCCTACATCATCACCTTGAAGAACATGAACCATTTTTTCACAATCACATAGTTTTAGCAGTTTCAGACAGGAGAGGTGCCCAGCCACTGAAACTGTGAACAATTTTGGCATGCTGCTGCAACGCACGATTATAAGTGATGTCAGATTTTCAAACACTGGCGGCTTCCTCAGTTGCGTGTTGGCAAGATCACTCAACACCAGTTCCTTCGATTGAGGAGCTATTTTCAGTTTACCATCAGATGAAGAACCCTCCATTAATTATGTCAAAATAACACCATTTCAAAATTCTGCAGTAGATAATAGAAATAATAATCTCAAAGTTAATCAATAATAGAACAAGTCGCAGGAAAATAAAAAATGATCACACTTACCTTAGCGATTGTCGGAAATGTTACTGGGAAGTGATGGAAATTCAAATGACTCTAGGAAGAAGCTTGAAAGCGGTGTGGTAGATTTCAAAGAACCATGATTAGATTCCAAAACAGAGAAAATTAATTATCTCGCTTGTCCGGTTTTTTTTTCCCTTTTTACATTGATTATTTCCCCTGGAATTGAGCCAATCACCCTTTTTTTTTTTTACATGGAAACTGTGTCACAAATTTCACATGAATTTTCTTTTAAGATGTTACATATTTGTTTTTTTGGAGTTAGAAAAGATTGACACTTGACAGCTTACATAATTTAATTTCTGACAAATAAGTTATATATTATTATCATCACAAATACCTTTTAAATAACTGTTGTTTAAAACTACTTTTAACTTAATTTAAACTTAAAAATTCAATTTATTCTGATTAGATAAAAAAATTAGATTAAAAAAAAGGGAGTGGCGGAATGTGTAGAACAAGAATTGAATAGCTTTTTTGTATCAAAAAGAACGAAATAGCTTTTTCCTGAGATGCTTAGCTTAGCGTGTGGACATTTCAAAGAACAGATCCCTAAAGTTGGCTTTGCAATAAAATTTATGAAGAAGTGAGAAAATAGTATATGTTAGTGATCATTGGTATTTCAAAAAAAGAAAATAAAAAACAAAGCATGTAAGACGCTTTACTCAACTTTGGGGGTAAGATATATAATATAGGCGATATTTTACGAAGACAGGGCAACAAAATAACCCAATTCTTTTTTAAAAAAAATGATCTTTTTTCTCTAACAATAGAAACAAATTCAATCAAATGCGACCTTAATATTTATTTTTAAAATTAATATACATCATTTATCTCTATATCTAATGTAAAATTTCTTAATTTTGTTAAAACTAGTGTGCGCCATACACGTGACTTTTCCAATACTTATGTTAAAAAGACAGCTTTGATATTTAGAAAATAGCATAGGATTGCGATTGCGATTGCGATGAATAATAAATTAACATTTGAATGGATTAATAAATATCATATTATTATAAACAATCAAAATACATCTAAAATTTTTGTATTATCAACTTATATGACAATTAAATGAGAATTAAAGGCATAATTTACTCCTAAACTTTTGTTAAGAGTGTTGGGTGCCTGTAGTGAAGGGTAGAACAATATTCTGCATAAATAATTTTTTTAAAAAATAATATTGCTCCTTCGTCAAGCATTCATTAATTTTACTGTTAATTAATCCAAAAAATTACAGAAATATGTCTTACTCATATAAAAGACACAATATTATTTTAACTAGTCATTTTGAGCGATGACTACTCGATGATTATCAAATCATCTTTGCAAGCAACACAGATAAATAATTAAAAATATTAATTTTTAAATAATATCTTACTAAAATATTAATACTTTAATATTTGATAATTTAAGTAGTATTATTATTTATAAATATTCACACACAATTTACAAGTTAACTTTTTAGATATACAAATTTGAAGAAGGTTATATTAATTTTGGAAGAAGGCTTACAATTTTATCATATTATTTTAATTTATAAATCACCTATAATTTTTAAAAAAATTAGTTGAGGTGTTAATATTGAAAAGAGAAGTTATAAATTTTGAATGAATATTTATAAATAATAATATTTAAATTACTAAATATTTAAATATTTTAGCAAAATTTTATTAAAATGAATATATTATTTTTTAATTACTTATTGATATTTCCAATATTAATGACTTGGTAATCACCGGTATTCGGTCAAAATGGTTGGTTGAAATATTTTTATATTTTATATGAATAAGAAATAATGGTCATTTTATAATTAACATAAAGAAAAAATTAATCATTTAATCCCTGTAGTTTTGACCCAATTATAACTCAATTCCTAAACTTTAACTCGCTATAATTCAATCCTAAAAGTTGACTCAATTGTAAATCAGTCCCTGAATTTTGTCTCTTGCAATTTAGTCCCTAAAATTTCAACTTCTTAAATATTAATTTTTATATTTTAAAAAATATAATTATAAAGATTAAAAATATTTTAAAATTTATTACTAATATCTTAAATTACTAAAACCTTTTAATATTTATAAATATTAATAGTTTAAAATATTTTTAGTGTTTATAATTTTATTTTTTAAAATATAGAGACCAATATTTAAGAGGTTGAAACTTTAGGGACTAAATTGCAAGAAGTAAAGTTTAGGAACTGATTTACAATCAAGTCAAAACTTTAAAAACTGAGTTATAATGAGTCAAAATTTAAAAATTGAGTTACAATTAAGTCAAAATTATAAGGACTAAATGATTAATTTTTCCTAACATAAATTTTAAAGACTGTATAAGTATACATTTGAAAAAAAAAAACAAATATGATTCAAAACAGAATTTAAAGAAAACCTTATATCAATACGAAAAAAAAACAAGGTTTTCTTTCATAGTAATAAGATGATGGATTTAATTTTTTGTGAATTAATTATAAAAAAACCATTATATTAAGATATATCTTTTTGCTTACAGTCCTTTTGAAATGCAATTTTGTAATTAGCTGGCTATGTATAAATCAATATATTCTTAATATTTAAAAAATTACCTCGAATAAAGTATGAGCCTGAGACTTGAAATTCCTTACACAAGATGGTGAATTCGAGACTTGGTAACCTCTATGTTTAGATTGAAAGTGTTTATCTTTCCTCTGAAAACTCTAAACAAGGAATCCTTTGTATACCAATGCAATCCAAGTCTAAACTCTAAGCTTTTGACAAGTTTTGATTTGTTTGTTTTAATTCTTTAAGATTTTAAAAATATTTAAAATCTAAAAAAATCAAATAAGTGATTATTTGAAGAAGCTATCATGATTTAAAATTTATAATTGATTTTAACATGTAATAAGAAATGTTGAATTTAATTAAAAAAATTATAATCTTGAGTTCGTAGTTAATTTTGACATATAATATGAGAATTTGGATTTTTAATCACTATCCAACATACTCTACCAATCCTAAGACTTGAAATTTCGTTGGACAATAAGTTGGCAGTTATTGCCAAGCACGGTGTGGCCGCCTGTGCCCCAAAAAATACACACGCATGGACTGATAGACATGAGTTACAAATCACATTATGGAAAGATCCATACATACGTTACCAGTGGCAACAGACAGCATTGGTATACAAAGGATTTCTTGTTTAGAGTTTTCAGAGAAAGGGCAAACATTCTCGATCTAAATCCCTAGGAACCAAAATTTCCGAGAGTAGGGTGGACTTGGAAGGAAATGCAAGTAAAAGCACCAGGAAAGAGCCGGGACCCTCTATGCATGAGAGAGCAAGCCTTGATCTCACTTAATTCTGGCTGTATTATGGTATTATATTTTGCCAAATTCTTTATTACCAGTGCGTTGGCTTTGTTTCACTTCGCCTTCATATTTATTTTCTCCATTCGTGCTTTTCAGGATATCTTTCTTGCACATTCAAGTCAATGAAGACTAGTGGCTAGTTGCTAGAGCAGTAACAAGGAGACCGAGGACAAGGAATGGCTGTGCGCTGGCCTGAAAGTGAAATAGAAACTACTCCAATTATGCGTGCTAAAAATACAGAGCAAGGGAAAATGGAAGAAATGAACATGAAACCAGGGTATAAAATGAATTACACATAATACTTACTTTTCATATAAAAAAATGTCAGCAGGGAAGTATTATATACAATATACACGAATATATATGTATGCACACACATTGTCCCAAAAAAGAGGAAAGTTGAAAAGGAAGAATGAAGGTCAATAAAACCAAAATTAAGATTTCATGATTTCTCATTTGCCGTTATTCAACCAAAAAATGAAGGGTTGGTCAATTTGAAGATGACTAACAATGACTTAATTTTTCACAATTCATTTCACCTCCAATAAATCTAGTCCGTCACGTCCAACCAGTGTCGATTTGCAAATGCCACTGTCGTCTAGGGACAGGCCTACGATCAAGCGTTAGATCAAGACCGAGCCACCACCATTGATCAAGACCACATAGTCCACTTTGACAAGGATCAAACCACCAATGTCAATCAGGATCGAACTACCACTGCCAATCGGGATTAAACCATTGACATTGTCTAGGTTTAGATAGCTAGCATTGACTGAAACCAAGCCACTACCTTAGATTGGGACTGGACCACCGACTTTGACCTAGACTAGACCATCAACGTCGTCCAAGTTGCCTTTAAATTCAGACATAGAATTTGAAATATGGAATTTTACTTAAGATTTAAACAAAGAATTTTAATATTATAATTTGAATTTTTTTATATCATCCAAACAAAGAATTTAAAATTTATAAATTTTAAATGTGAGATTTTAAATCCAAATTCTCAACCCAAATCCATCCATTCAAACACAACCTTGAGGTGATTTGGACATGCATAAAGAAGGTTGTTAGAGGCACCAATGAAGAAAGTTGATCAGATGGTCTCAAGTCCAGTCAGAAGAGATAGAAGAAGATCAAGATGATCACTTACGGAAGTTATTGAGCATGACTTTTTAATAAACAGTTTATCTAAAGAGTTGATTGTTGATAGAGCATAATGACATAATGCAATCCATAAAACCAACCTTACTTAATGAGATAAGACTTGTTATTGTTTATTAAAACAACACTAGATATCATCCCGGGAACTACAAACTTAGTTCTTAGAAGTTCAATAGTGGAAATGTACCTGGTATTTAACATCATACTTCACCGGGTCTTTAAGGAAGTACTGAAACTGCAAGGCATAAGAACCAGTAAGATGCCAACATAAAGTTAGCTGGACAACACAACTTGAGCGCGCAATATTCAGCAATTTTACATTATCACAAAATTTTCTTTTCTCAATCTATAATAGATATTTAACAATAGTAATGAAGCAAGAAAAATTCCCTTAAAAAAACCCTTTTAAGGGAATTTTTCATATATTTCATTGCAAATATCTTATAAACAAGCAAGTTACCGAGAAGGCAAGTGCATAGCAAACTGAATTCACATAAGCCAAACACCACACCTATTGGGAGTAAAAGAATATTCACTTTGGTTGTGCTTTACCTGAAAAATGACTTGCGGAACTATCAGGGCGAGTAAAGCCAATGCATAGTATGGTTTACCTGCTCCAAGAAGATATCCTGCAAACATAAATTCCAATAAACTCCTTGCATGAAAATCAAATCATATTTTATATTCTGGTTCAATGGTCTTGATCAACTTAAAAATGACTGCTTTACCAGAACCTAAAGCAGTATATCATATTTGCCAAGAGAGGAAAAAAAGGGGGGGGAGAAAATCAGTACATTATCTCAAAAGCAAATTTTTCCATAAAAATGTTAGCTCCATACTCAAGCCAAGACAACAGCAGCAGGGGTGCATTTAGGTGTCCTCTTGTCACCATTTTAAGAAAACGCTCCAATATTGTGATCAAATTGTAGCAGAGTACGAACCATTTGAGTCCAAGTTAGACATTATATAGTATGAAAATTCCCAAGGCCAAGGGAAGGGGGGGAATCTAAACCTAGAAGGATAGTTATGATGGGTAATACAATAACAACCTTAATGAATCAAGCTTCAAATTTCATCTTACACTAACTAGTGCATGGCATAAATGAATAGTATAGTCATTTTGAAGAAAATATTAGAGAACAAACCATAAAAGTATATGTCGTGGATTAAAAAGTACCAGCAACAGATAACTGTGTAATGTCAATGGCACCAACACAGATCCATTTAGCAGTTTCAGTACCAAATGCAACTGGAAGTGACTGCCAGGTGAAAAAAAAAAAACGTCACATTAAAAACAGGCAGCAGCAGTTACTTCAGTTAATATGCAAGATCAGAAATTTTAGAACCATGACAAGTAGAAATTACAAAAATCAAAGGATGGGACAATAGGACAACCTGAAGTCCTAGAGCTCTATCCCCTTCAACGCTTTTGAAGTCATTGACAATGGCAATCCCCAACTGACATGCATAAGGTAACAATGTTACATACCTTTTCCAGGGAAAAACTTGACATGAGATACATACCAAACATAACAAGATACTGAATTTTGCATACTACATACTCCCGCTATGCTGTATAGGAGTGTGAGAACAATGATATCAGGTGTAAGAGTTCCAAACAAAGCCTGACCAGCCCACCTAAACCAGGAAATTGGTTGCAAAACTTAAGATAAATGGCACAAGTCCAGAAAATAAACTTTAGAAGTAAATCAAACAAAAAGATCAGATTCCTAATTATTTTGGGTCAATAAAGTGTCCCAGTTTTACCTAGCTCATTTCTTACAATAAATACAAGCAAGAATAATAACTTTTTTATTTTTCTAAGAAAAATATTTAAATATTGATATATGAACCCCCTCTATAGTCTTGTATGCACCTTATGAATAGTAGTCAACTATCTCATATAAGAAGCAATTCTTTTTACTCAGAAAATGGATGAAAATCAAAGGGATGAGACGTAAGTCAATCTAGAAATGCATGTTGAAAACCGGGAGAAAGCTTAAAATATATTACTGCTAAAGAATATAGTACCATGGTAAACTGATATAACTTGCTCCAAGAGCAAAGTTTCCAATCCATCCATTTTGCTTAAGCTGCAGAGAAAACAAAAATTCAGTCAAATGTCAGAAAAAGGAATTTCCTGCAGCAGTGGGAAGCAGGATGGTTTACATCAAGAAACAAATAAACTTAGAAAGCAAATATATTTTTAAAAAATAATGAAAAATTTTGAAATATAAAAATGGTGTACCTTCAAAGGAGGAGCAGAATATATATATGATAGCAATGATCCACCAAGAGCAAGGTAAAAAACTACAGGGAAATCATGCCCTGCCTATAAGAACAAGCATCAGAAAATCAAACTTCGGCCTAATTTATACTTTACAGGAAAATGAAGCTAGAGTTTAGAGCACAAACCCATATGTCCAACAAGCCAGCCAAGCTAAGGCCTCCTAGCAACAGCACCCATATTTGTGTGATAACCTGAAGAATTTTAGGCAATGAAAAATTGAAAAACTGAAAACTGCAATAGGAAAGCATGCATGAATCCCAGTCAGAGAAACAACATACCTCATTCTCAGATATTGCCCCTGAAGGAATTGGTCGATAAGGTTCATTAATTGCATCAATTTCTCGGTCATACCAATCATTCAGAGTCTAACAAATTAGAAAAGCAGAAAAATAAACTCATTTCAGTCTGGCACTCATCCAACATGCATCAGCAAAACTTGTCCAGAATAGCACCTGTGTATATCCAGTAAGGAATGGTCCAGACATCATCATGCACACAATTGATTTCACAACATCCTCAAAATTCCAGTGGAAATTTCCTGTCACGTGAAAAGATTGCTTTAGAATACTGACTTCTTGAAGAAGTTATGTAGATGCACAATGCATCTATGAAGTTAGAGATGATACTATTATTTAAATATATACAATGCGTTAATAATCCAAAAAAATTAAACACAGTTGAAATAATAAAATAAACAATATTTTGTCCTCATTATTCTGCATTAAAAAGCCTATGATCTTAAAGGGATTGTCCGTGTTAGGGACAACTATTCCTTCAGATAGGTCTAAAAGCTTATGCTTTTTGAAGAAATAATTCTTAAAGATTGTATAAAAGCCTCTTTGACCATGCAATCAAAGATTTGATCATTACCATCTCCACTATTCTAATCAAATTCAACATTTCAGTACAAGGTTTGAGCAGGCAGCATTGTACTTTGTCCATGTTTCAAGCACTTCCTTAACTACATGTTTAGCATACGGAAAAGTATTTCTTAGAAAGGAAATGATAAAAATATCTAGAAAAAATATGGGATAGCTGCATTTACTTTTTCCTTTCTAGAAAATACGTTTCTACCTACCAAGCATTGCATAAGCCTCCACAAACCTAACTGGAACATTTCCATGACATAGTTTATCTATCATGCATAGAAAAAATTGTTGAATATACTAGTTATGCTAAAGTTACACTTTTGCAGAAGGGAGATTGGCAATCAAATGTTACTTAAGAAAACCGGTGTTCCTCCAAGTAAGCATGTGATATGATAATAATAAAAGAATTAAAGAAGTGATTTGGGTTTTAGTTGGTTAGAGGTGTTAGATGGTTACCGTTATCTCCTCAGTCTAGATAAGAAGGGAGTTTTGTGAGTCAGTTTATGGATGGTTAATGACAGAATCGTTTTCTGTTGCTCTACTCCTCTAATTTCTCTTCTCTTCTCTCTCAGTCCTTCTGTGTTCTATCATTCTCTCACGTCTCTCTCCAATTTTTCTCTTCTATTCGTTATAACAGCATGGCACATAAATTAACACTTGGGCCATAACTAACTGATGTAAGACCTTTTTTATTTAATAAAAATGTAAGACCCATTATTCATGACTTCCAACTCGGACAATTCATTTCCTGTAGCTAATTCAAAATACAAAGATGCTGAATATCAATTAACTCTTTTGTTCTGGCCGAAAAAAGTATTGTTTTGTTGCTTTCACATGATATACTAGTAAAAAAATTCCTTTCCTTGAGAAGATTACTTTTATAGAAAAGGCAAATTTATTCTAGAGAGAACAACAAAAGGAATGAGGATAAGATGCCCTCTTAAATAAAAAGAACAAAAATAAGCTAAAGAAAACAAAACCAAGAGGACAAGCATGAAGCTAAGCTGCCCTCTGCATATTTGACAGAGACACAGAGTTCCCTTGGATGTATTGTGATGCCTAAGGTTGATGAAGTCAATTAAAGAAAAACCAAAAGAAGGTGACCATTGGAACAACTGATAAAAATTTTCTACAAGACAACTCAAGATTTATTTCAATGTTTTGAGTGACATTATGTTATGCTAAAAGAAATACCAGAAGCAGCAGCACCACAAACTACGCCCCAAACCAATGGAGGCCAAGTAACAGGCTTTGTGAGTTGAAGACGAATCTTCCATTTATTCTGCAAAAAGTATTACATAAAGAACAATAAGTACATATGTTCAGGATGGTGCAAAATCATCTGTTTTATGTCATTATTTACTATGTAACAAACCAAAAGACCAGAGATGTCAAGACATGGCAGAGAACTGAGTAACTAGAAGCCAGGATCATACTTAATTAGTTTGTCTCAGAATGTTAAATTGCATTGATACCAAAACTATTTAAAACAACCTTGCCAATAATGTTCTGCAATCCAAAATAAAGACAACTATCAACTGACAATTTATGTCAGCCACAAAATATAGGCAGAGTATTAAGCCTTATGAACTAGCAGGTGTCCCATAAACCATCCAGATCAATCTGTCTGCAAGGTGACATGCAGTTTGCCGTATTCGAACCAATTAATAGCAATGCAGCAATTTTTCAGTCAGTCTCATTTGTCCTCATAATCTAACTTGGTGTGTAAAACGCAAAGGTAAATGGCAATAGGAGATGGATATAATGTCAACATAAAGTAGCAAACCTTTTATCTCAAAAGGGAGATGCATCTATCCAAAAAGAGCAGTGTAGCAGCTTTTTCTAATTGAATAATAAGATCAAGGATCAGCAACAGTGTTAGTTTTGCCAAATACTTGGACTAGATGTCAAGGAGAAGGATTTTAGGCGCTTTGTAAGTTGGCATGTCATCTAATGAAGAGAAAATTGTAGACAATCATTTAAGGTGGCTAGGAGACATACAAAGAAGGCTGTTGGAGGCATCATTAAGGAGGGTGGAGAAACAAAAGTAGAGGAAGACCAAAAGGAATACTCAATAAAGTTATTGAACAGGACTTTTTGATAAATAATATATCCAAAGATTTGATTGTCGATAGAACACAATGGTGTCGTGCAACACATGTAGCCAATCCCACCAAATAAGGTAAGGCGTGTTGTTATTGTTGTCAAGGATTTGAGTATTAAAACTTTCTTCAGTTCTTCCCAAGTACTCAGTCTCTTCCTGCCTAAATTTTACATCAGAGCTTTGAAGTTTATGGCAGAACTTAATACAACAATTCTCCTGTATTCTAACTTCAAGCAAGATGAGGTGCTATTGTAGACTTATGATGCGATAGTAATGCCCTACTATCATCAATCCAAATTGAAGTTGGGCAATAGAGTAATCCCTCCCATTGTGTTTAAAATTTAATACTTGAACTTCATTAAACTGATTTACCCTTTCTCATGTATTAAGTTGACTTTTGGAATTCAGTGGTTTCAGAATAACATTTAACTTTTCTTCAAGAACAATATGATACGGGGAAGAAATGGGGAGAATGAAACTGAAGGAGTAGAATGGGGGGAAAAGTAATTTCTCCTTAGTCACATGAATGATGGAAATAAAATCGAAAAGAAAATTCTAAAATTACATATTTCTTCATATCCGATTTTATTGAAATGATTTTGTTTAATGGGATGGTAGTACGGCAGTAAACTATAAAATGTTACAAATTCATTTCTCTTAACCTCCACATTTTCATTTCTCCCTTATTTCCGTTGTGATTTTCAAATAAGTAACATAAATCACAATCACCTTTAATTTTCCTTTCTTCCAAACAAAGTGCAGAAGAAATTCCTATTGACGAATCAACAGGTAATGAAGCATATCACAAGGTAGCAAAGTAGCATAATTAAACCAAGTTACATTCAAGGTTAAATAATTTTTCCCCACATAAAACTATTCCCGCTGCCAACGACGATAACATGAATCTGATTATAATCATTAAGTCTAGTCGTAGTGAACTCCGCGTCAAAAGAAGATAATAAACTCTGATATTATCGAACTTGAGACATGGAAGAGGATTAAAAAATGGACTCACTGTTTCTTGGGAAGCTCCTTTAATACCAAGAAGCTGATTGAAGCTCGAACCATTTTTAGCCGGCGCCTTATCTGGGGCTTGAGGTTTAACTGCTGACACCAACCAAAAGATTGAAGTTACTCTGAATTCCGAAACTACTACAATTTAAAAAAAATAAATATTGGCGCAAGAGAGCTTAATTCACCTTCGTTTGCCTCCGTTTCTGCTGCTTTAATCTGTAATCTCCTCGCTGCAAAAGAAATCAATTATCAAAACCAATGAAACAACACACAGCAAAAGCTCAGAGGCAGAAACTCTTGGTGGCGTTGGATTGCTGAGAAAGTGAACAAAACTACAGTTAACACATTAGATATCAGGATACAAAAACGGGGCGCGGGGGGTTCTTTCTTGCATCCAATAGTTAACTCTCTCAGCAACCAAACGAGCTCCATTGAGTCAACCTACAAGTGAGTGAGAAGGAACTTGGGGCGTAAAATGGTCGGGCTTGGACTCTAGGGGTTCTGGTGCTTGATAACGTTCTGGGTGGTACCGAAACCATACTGAGTAAGGACGCCATTGAAGATATGATGCGCCAATGGAGCTCAGTGACCGAGTAAGAGAAAGAAAGAAAGACACACGGGTCGGCTTCGTGGGCGGAGAGACAAATGGCATTGGTTATTTTGGCGTAGTGATAAACTTTTTGAGTAAAAAAATATTTCCCGTCACGTTGTGGAGGAGATTTTATAATATATATTGTAGTGTACGCAATTTAATATGTTTAACATGTTTATGTCCATGTGGAGCCGTGTGATTGCTCTGGCTTTATTTGAACAACGATGATTATTTTTGGAGCCGTTCAATCTTACTTCGGATCCAGGTGGAACTTGGACATCTGGCAGGGATTGTAGTGTAGAATAATGCTAGTGAGAAAAATTGGTGTTGGTAATAGAGAGGAAATAAATTTGATATCTATAGACTATAATCTCATGACGAACTAGTATTAATACCACTTTTTGTTTTTTATATTAAAAATTTCAGATGAATTAGACTTGAGGATTTAACAAGTTAAAACATGTTTTCAAACTCTAACAGTACTTAAAAAATAATGAAGAGAGAAAAATTAAATATCTAGCAATGAAGAGATAATAAGTCTGCTTTATATAACTTATATATAATTTTCTCTAAATTTGATTCATTAAAACTATGTATTTATAGACTACGGCCAATCCTTTCATGACATAAAAGTATTAATGCTACCTTTTGTTTTTTTTTTATATTAACAAGTTTAGACAAATTAGATTTGAGAGCTTACTAAATCAGAGTATACTTTCAAGCTCAAATAAAATTTTTAAAAAAATACATATAAATAACTTATTAACAAGGTCTTTGTTGACGAAAGGTTGTGCATTCGATCACACTTATTAGTACTCATTTCAAGCTTTATGCTTAAAGATTGTCATTTTTTAACTTCAAATGCAAGAAAAATATAAAAAGGGTTACAGAAATTCAATTTATATTCTATAACGTTTGATTAAAGAGTGGTACAATCAAAGAAAGTAATAACCGGCGTGCATTGAGTATCAAAATTACACTTGATGCTAGCCAAAAGGCTAGGAAAGGTGTTTAACTGAGACACTCGTTTTCTTGCCTCTCTTTCTTTTTTGATAGAAGGAAAAATTTAAAGTAAAAGGAATAATTTTCAACTGACCGGAAGACACGCATTTGGGGGTCAAACTCTAAAGCAGGAGTTCATTATAATAAATAAAATAATGATAATAGAAATGAAGGCCCAAACTTATGGAGTCTTACGGGCCATGAATATGTTGTGCTTGATCTCGGCCCAGATATGGAGGAAATGGATGGATGTACGGCTTGACGCTTGATCCACCAATTTATTAATTTAAGTTAAACAGCCAACTGAAATAAGCTTTGTGATTATGAGACTTTTGGTTTGGTTTCCCGGTAAGCTTTCGCTGTTTTAAGAAATAATGTACAAAATGTTATGCACGGCACATCACATGTTTATACAACTTATCTTAATATTTAAATTTAAATTCAATATTTATCTTTTAGCTGATAATTTAAATTCACGATGTTTATGAAAAACGTTGAAAATATATTCCCTCCATTTAAAAATATAAAATATTTTTTAAGAGATTAAATGTTAAAAAATATAAAATATTTTAAGTCTTTTAAGGTGTAATCATTACTCTTTTTTTAAGTGTCCCTATTGAATAGATTACTTTATATTTTTTTTAAGATAAATATTTTATTAATTAGGGGTAAATATAAAAATATAAAATTAATTTAAAATAAATAACTACGAATAAGATTTAATTAAAATTATTTATATTTTAAGTGAGGAAATAGATATTATATATAAAGTTGATATCAAACGAGTAGATCTGGTTCTGGTGACGTTGCCGAGAGGTAAAAATCTCTTTTGTAATTTGCAATGATCAATCCACAGCCGCACTTTCCCCATTTTATTGTTTTGCATTGCCTGTTCGTATCTAGATTCCAATGAAGCAATAACTTGCGATTAATATGATAATCTTATAAATGAAATTGTTTTCGAATACGTAATTCCTTCTTAATTAAACCGAGTGTTTGAAATTGAAACTGGGTCTCCCCAAGAAGGACGCTCCCATTCTATTAGTTAATATTAACCTCCTGAACTTTGAATGAATCGAATTAGAAAAAGACTTTGGTTCATGATTTATGATTTGACCATTAGACTTGGTTTGGAGGAAGAAAAATATGGAAGAGAAAAGATTGGGAGGAAAGAATTCCAAAAATAATATTTTTTACTATTTTTATGAGTTTTCTCTATTAATTTCTTTTATTCTTATTTTTCTTCCGCAACGTTGAAACAGATTATTTAAGATCTCATGTTCTAAAATTCTTCAATGTCCTTTTCAGTTGGTCTCTAAATTAAATCATTGCATAGTATAAATCTCTGATCCAACGTCTTCAAACGATGTGATCATGCTGAGCATTTTAGCATGAGATTATTATTATTATTATTGGTCAGACGTTTTACCCGGAGATTTGAAAACGAGTTATTTATTACATAAATACCGCCTTAATTGGCACATCAGGCTCTACAGTATATACTATTATATAAAATTTATTATAATTATTAGATCAAGGTTTAATTCATAGTATTTTTTAATCGTCTTATATATATATATATATATATATATGTATATGTAGATTATCGGCCAGAAAACATTACACATGTAGATGCAGAGGATAAAACTCGGACAAAAATGAATTTAAATTTTAAAATTTATAAATTTATGTGAAGTTTGTCTTTTTAAAAAAAAGAAGAATAAGAAGAAAAAGATTTTGTATTTTATAAAAAAAAATAAAAAGAAGAAAAGCTCGAAAAAAATTCAGATAAATTTGTGAATGTCAACTTTTAGAAGATTCAAATATGAAAAAAATAACTAAATAATTAATTTGGACACAAAGAGTTGGGGGCAAGTATGTCAGGGCCTGTTTGTTTTCTATTTTTAAAAATTATTTTTTATTTTTAAAATAAAAAATTTAAAAATTTGTTTTGATAATTATTTTTTATTTAATTATTTTTAAAACTATTTTTATTTTTTATTTTTAAAAACAAGAAAATAGAAACAACTTTAAGTTGTTTTCATTTTTTTTAAAATATAATACATTTAATTATTAAAAATTATAGTTAGCTTGATCAAATTTTATTATTAATCACAACCATGAAATGCCCGTAACTGTCATTATCAATTCGTTTTTTAATTTTAAAACTGTTTTTTAGTTGGCACAACCAATTAAAGTTTTATTTTATTGTTTTAAAAATAATTTTAAAACTGTATCATAAAATAGTTTTTAAAAATAAAAAATGAGAACAGAAATCAAACAGGACCTTACTTGCCAAACTTATCCTAAATATTTGTCATTGGTGAAAAAATTCCTACAATCTTATCATAAATCAGAAATTTTTAATTAATGGACCGTATGGCAGTAGTGTAATTAAAAAGTCAAGCGTAGCCATGAACCGCCAACCCAATAATGGAAATCTAACGTATAAATAATTATATGAAAATATATACATACTTCATTCAGACCACAATATACTCTCTTCGGTCTCATTTATAAAAAATAAAGAAAGAATTTTTTTATCTCATTTATAAGTCACTTTATTAAATTTTTATTATAAATTTCCTCATTTGACATTTATTAAATATTGGGAAGAGAAAATATTTATATTTAATAAAGATAGAATTGAGAAATTATTAAATTTATAGATAGAGTTAATGAATTTTAAAGTTTTTTTAGATCCAGTGAAACATATTAAAAGTATTTTATAGATAAAATTAGAGAAGTAAGTTATGGTTAATTAATTCACAGTTTATTAAAAATGTTAATATTAATTGAAACCTTAAATTTTTAAAAATATTAACATCTTTCTATTTATACCCTCAATTAAATACTTTATATAAGAGTCTTGATAATAATAATTAAAATTTTAATACATATTTAAAAAATAATAAATGAAGTAAGTGTATAATTAAAAAATAAATTTAAAAACTATTTAATGTTCTATATTTTAAATTAAATAAAATTTTAAAAAATGTCTTATATTATAATTAGGAGTGAGAGTGTGTGTATCTAATATTCAGAAAGAGAACATTGACTTTTTCTTCTCCACAAAATATGAATTTGTATAGTACGTAGCAGAGGAGAATGTGATTCCTATATCCCCACCCCACCACCTTATGAACCCAACTTTCTCTTTTTGAGTATCTTTTCATGTCATTGTGCTATTCAGAATCCATATCACTCCCACAAACCACTTCATTCCATTAATTGGCATCTTAATTATATTATTACCTTCCTCAACTTCGTCGTAAACTTAGGTTCTTCCTTTTTTGTTAGTCGTACATATGAACTTCCATTAAAAGCAATCATTTTCGAATGCATATAATTAAACAGTAAATATGGACATTGACAAAAATATAAAAAGTGAACGATTATAAGTGATGAACTTGTCTCTGTTTTTTAATGAGTAAGATACAAGGACAAGAATTGAGAAGAGAGATAAGAGTAACAAAAATATTAATAATAAAAATATGAAGAAAATAAATATGAAGAAAATAAGAAGGTCAAAAAAGAAGCATGAAATTTCAAATAATTAGAGTTTAAAATAAATTTAAAATTACCAAAAAATTATACTAAAATATGAGTTTGAATAAATCCAAGTTTTTAGACTTTTATGTATCTAAATGAAGAATTTGATTTAAATTCAAATCCAAATTATCATCCATCCAAGTGCATCATACATTATTTTGAAAAAGTCCGTAATAACCACCTCTTGATCATATTTGTATGCATGTATGTTTGTACTTTGTGCACATTTCTTTATTTTTATCTAAAAAGAAAATCATGCATTCGATTACAAGAGAAACACATTATTGAGGCGTTCAAAGTTTAATATCGAAACCAACATTTTATATGTAGATCACGTTGCACATTTGGCCCTCTCCCAACCCATTTATTTTATAGTTTTGTCCCTTACAACAAATTGTTCAAAAGAGCCTTTGCAGTAAAATTGTGAACAAAAGGGAGAGCATATTTAAGCTTTTTGTCACATACAATCTCACTTGCGCCACTAAATAATGAGGACTCCACTTGAAA